AGCGATTATCGTCCTTCCATTTTGGAAGACCAAACAAAGTAGTTTCGCTTTCACAACGAATCACACAGTGCTTTCACGACATGGCGACGGCAACAATACTACAGCGAGAATAAAAGTTACGCCTTCTTTTTTTGCGTGAACATTTGGGCGGCGTTATGCAAGTCTTCCCACATAGTGACATAGGTATGTGGGGGCGTGTTAGAACGAGCCGTTTTAGGTAGGCGTGGCTGACTTAACTTTTATAAAGAATATCTCTTTGGATTTGAGACTTTAGTCTTTGCAACTTTACAGATCTTCTTTATGCACCAAGAGCTTGTAACACTCCAAAGAGAAAGGAAAAATTTAAATCGCATCATATGACCCCTTTAAACTCAAATCTGAGGTTGGCAAACAAGTCATTTCTCTGTAGACAGTGTTGCAATAATTCTATCCACTAGATAGAGCTGCAAGCTTGAGTTTTTTCTGAGTTAATTCTGAATTAGTACTTGATATTTTCGTGATCAAAGCGGGTCACCCACACTACTCATTTCCAATGCCATTACTAAATGGCCCAAGTTTAACAAGCTTTTGTGTTTTCTTGTGAAGGTCATGTTGTTATTTTGCTGGCCACCATGAAGATGCAATAAAACTTTGTGTGCAATAAAACAGACTGCACTGATGTGAAGTGATGTGTCCTCTTATATTTCTGCATGTTATTTTTGGATTATTATTAGTATTATTGCAATGATTTTCTGTGAATGAATGAACAAATTCATTCATAAATCAAACCTGGCTCATTTTTATTCTCTGACATAGAGTCAAGCAAACTTGATTGTATAGACGAAAGGACTTTTAAAAAGTATAGTGTTTAACCCTAATATTAGTAGTTTCAGATCTATTGCAGCTGCTATGACAAAAGCAGGTATGTTTGTGTGTTGGCCATAAACAGAAACGAGATCTTGTGAAAATAATAGCCAAAGTGAAAGAAAGTGCTAAGTTCATTCAAAAAAAAGTTTTGCGAGAGAATGCAAAGTTTCTCGGGGGAACACAAAAGCTTTGTGAGAGAACGCAAAAGATTTGAAAAAAAAAATTTCCTCCCACCCAGTATTTTTCCCACCAACATGTCCCTTTAGGGGTTCCCCATGTGTTATTTCAGTTTTTCTTTTTTAATAAATCTGCAAAAATGTCAACAATTCTGTGTTTTTCTGTCAATATGGGGTGCTGTGTGTACATTAATGAGGAAAAAAAATTAACTTAAATGATTTTAGCAAATGGCTGCAATATAACAAAGAGTGAAAAATTTAAGGGGGTCTGAATACTTTCTGTACCCACTGTACATAGAGTTAGGGTGATATTAAATGCTTAACCCGTGATATAAGATTTTGGCCATATTTCCCATTTAAGCCATTCATCCCACTATCAACAGGCACGTCATGTAGGCTACGCTTGTTGTATTTCGTTTGGGCACAAAGTGTCACTGTGGCCTCAAAGCTTACAACTCACCTACTCTGGTTCAATTACTACTATTCCCTACGGACACAGAAATGTAGAAATAAATAAATATAGAAATAAATACGTAAATAAATACATAAATGTGGAAATAAATGTATAAATAAATAAAATAAAAAAAGTGGGAAAAAATAAAAATATGCATAAATAAGGAAATAAAAGTATGCATTTTTTTCTCTTTTCTTCATATATTTATATATATTTATGTATTTTTGCATTTTTACATTTCTTTGTATATTTATTTATTTCTAATTTTGTCAGGTTTGGCATTCCATATTAAGTTGATGATGTAGAGTTGTGTTGGCCTGGTTCTCTTTGTGGATTCTGCCTAACCCACTCGTGACAACATGCTTATTCTGAACATAATGATCTTTTTCTTACCTTTTTTTTTACATTTTTTATTTTAAGAATTAAAACATAAAACAGTTTTTGTAGTATATATTTATGACGTTTTACAGCATGACAGGCTGTATTAATTGTAGTATTTTAATTCATAAAATGTCACATCAGAATGTCACAGCTAAATCATATCAACACACCAAAGATACATAGTACAGAGAAAGCACAAGCTCTATATCTGTACAGCGTGTCATGTTGTAGAAAGTGAAGAGCTGCTGGATTCAGTGCAGCAGGATGAAGGAGAGCAGAGAACAGCAGAGGAACAGGAAGCTCTGAGTGATGCTCTGAGCACCGTTACACAGGTTCCCTGAACAACACGAGACGCCCTGAACATCACCAACTGATGTAGCAGCATCACAAATAGATTTAGAGAGACAGCCTTTTACAACTGTTGACTGGCCCTCGAAAGTCCCTGATGAAAAGACAGAAAATACAGGTTAGTCTAAGCTGGAAATTGGTAAATGTGATCTGTATGAGATCCCAAA